CCCGGCGCCGTACCGGGGCCAGCCGACGCCGCTGCGGCTGCCGCTCGGGTCCCTGTACGTGCACCACACGTACCTGCCCGCGCCGCCCTGCACCACCTTCGAGCGCTGCGCCGCCGACATGCGCTCCATGCAGCGCTACCACCAGGATAAGAACGGCTGGGACGACATCGGCTACAGGTGGGCGGGGGCGGGGAGGGGGCGGAGCCGGTCACTCAGTGCAGAGCCTGGGTGGGCGGAGCCTAACGGGGGGGTGGGGTAGGGGGGGTTGGACCAGAGCAAACCTGGAGAAGCGGAAGCGCGGGGCGGGTGGAGCCAAGGTGGAGAGGGGCGTGGCCTAGACGAGGACGCGGGGGGGGGGGGGTCAAGTCAGTGGGACCCTAGGGTGCGGGGGCGGAGGGGGGGGGAGATAGGGGAAGGAGCCCTAGCTGGTGTGGCTCAGTGGATAGAGCGTGGGTGCGCGCCCATCCCCAGGACGGGGTGTGCAGGAGGCAGCTGATCGATGTTTCTCTCTCATGGGTGTTTCTCACTCTCTATCCCTCTCCCTTCCTCTCTGTAAAAAAAAATCAATAATATATATATATAAAGATAGAGGAAGGACCAGTGAGAAGGGCTGAGGCTGGGACAAAGGCGGATAGTGATGGGGTTGGGCCTAAGGAAACGCTGTGAACTGGGACTTGAGACAATGGGGAGGGGCCCGACAGAAGGGGCCGTGGCCAATGCTAGAGTAACCGGAGGGCTTCTAGAGTGACGTTTGGTGGAGGAGTGGGACGCTGTGGGCCAGGCTCAGTGCGACCCTAGCTAAGGGTACCAGAGCGTCCCTTTTGGCGGGACAGTCCCGATTTTCAACAATTTTTCCCGCGTCCCGCGGCGTTTTAAAAAAGTCTCGATTTTTGGAAAGATTGGAAAGATTTTTAAAACGCCTCGGGACGCGGGGAAAATTGTTGAAAATCGGGACTGTCCCGCCAAAACCGGGACTGGACAGGGCAGCCCTGACGCCGTGCGGTGCCTGCCCCCTCTCCGCAGCTTCGTGGTGGGCTCGGACGGCTACGTGTACGAGGGCCGCGGCTGGCACCGGGTAGGCGCGCACACCCTGGGCCATAATTCCCGCGGCTTCGGCGTGGCCTTCGTGGGCAACTACACGGCGGAGCTGCCGGCCGAGGCCGCGCTGCGCACCGTGCGCGACACGCTCCCGGGGTGCGCGGTGCGCGCCGGCCTCCTGCGGCCGGACTACACGCTGCTGGGCCACCGCCAGCTTGTGCGCACCGACTGCCCCGGCGACGCGCTCTTCCGCCAGCTGCGCTCCTGGCCGCACTTCGATGCGGTGAGTCTGCCTATCCCGGGCCTGCCACCCACCTGACACCACCAGCTCAGCCCCTGACCCTGGCCTGTCTGCCCAACCTCAGCAGGCCCCTGGCTTTCCTGTAACCCCTCTCTCTACTCACACCGCTTCAGCCAGGCCCCTGGTCTCCCTGGCAGCCCTTCTATTAATATTCGGGCAACCGAGTCCCAGCCTTGAAGTTGTTCTGCTCACGACATGTCCCATCCCCTGTCCTCTGTTGGCACAACCTTAGCCGAAGTCTTGACCCGGCCAGCTTGTTGTTTGCCCAGCCTCCAATACCTCTGCGCTCACAAACAGGGCATGGGCCCTGGTTCCTGCAGCCACCCCTCTGCCCTCACAGGCTGGCCTGCATCCCCTATACCCAAGTCACATCGCTTCTGCCTGCACAACCTCCTCCCAACTCACCTCACTTGGGCCTCACCCCAGGCCCCTACCCAAAAGATCTCTGTATTCCCAGCAGTAACCTAAGTGGTGTCCCTTTTAACCAAAAACCACTTTGCCTGCACATCTCTGCCCGGCTCCTCACTGTGTTTTGCAGTCTTATGCCCAATCTCAGCCCTAAGGATGCTTGCTCCACCACAGCCTCCCTGACCTTTGATGACAGTCCTTGTGCTGCAGCAATCGAGGCCCAAATAACACAACCTTGGCCCCAGCACCTCGATCAGCACACACCTCTCTACGCACACACCTGCCCAATCCCGTGCTGCCTGCTTACTTCCATTTTATATCATGAAGCTGGCCTGCAGTCAGGGTGTACCCATCCCCTCTCTCGGTCCTCTTCCTCAGGCTCCTGCCATGAGCAAGGAGACCGGCCCTCACCCCACCCCGAAGCCTCACAGTCTCTTGCCTTTTCCAGACTGTAAAGCGAAGGACTGCCAGGAGCGCCTCCAGGAGACCCAAGAGGAAGCTGCCGCCAGTGACCATGCTGGCCACAGACCTCCAATAAAGAAACTGTGTGAGGAAAGCCCGTGTCTGTGCACCGTCTGTGTTTGCCCAGAGTCAGGCCCTGAGATACACATTCCAGTGCATGTAGCCTGGCAGGCGATCCCAGGACAGATCCCCAGGGGACAAGGAAAAGAGGTGGAAAAAGGGAGGAAGCCCAGAAAGGGTGCTTTATCAAGCAAGTTGGCCTCGGGGACACATGGAGCTCAATCCCACTAAGGACTTCTGGAGGACAGCCTGGGATGTGTATCTCTAAGTTATCCCGCCAATAAGTGAGGAGACTGGGCTGAAACCGGTTTGGCTCAGTGGATAGAGTGTCGGCCTTTGGACTGAAAGGTCCCAGGTTCGATTCCTTTCAAGGGCATGTACCTTGGTTACAAGCACATCCCCAGTAGGGAGTGCTCAAGAGGCAGCTGATTGATTTTTCTCTCTCATTGATGTTTCTAACTCTCTATCCCTCTCTTTTCCTCTTTGTAAAAAATCAATAAAATACATATATATATATTTTTAAAAAAGAAGAAGAAGAAGAAGAAGAAGAAGAAGAAGAAGAAGAAGTAGTAGTAGTAGTAGTAGTGAGGAAGCAAAACTGGTTTGGCTCAGTGGATAGAGCTTCGGCCTGCAGACTGGAGGGTTCCGGGTTCAATTCCAGTCAAGGGCATGTACCTTGGTTGCAGGCACATCCCCAGTAGGGGGTGTGCAAGAGGCAGCTGATAGATTATTCTCTCTCATCGATGTTTCTAATTCTCTATCCCTCTCTCTTCCTCTCTGTAAAAAAAATCAATAGAATATATTTAAAAAAAGAAGTGAGGAAACTGGGGTATTGATCCACCAGCTCCCAGTCGGTGGCTGAGGGCTTCCCTCAGGGAAATGTTAATTCTCTGGCACTTTGGGGCTATGTGCGGCATGGGCTCCATCTGTCAGAGAGACTCCTCCAGCAAAAAATGCAGAGAGTTGGGAGTGGAGCCAGTATGCAAAGAGGTGGTAAACGCTCAGGGATGCAGCAGAACCCAGGGAGACTCCGTGTGTGTGGAGCGGGAGCGAGACGGCGGGGTGCGTAGCCTGATACAGTATGAATAAGATGGGCATATCTAAGGGGTGTGTACCTGCCGCCTGAACACCCTCCTCCTCGGGACAGGTTATAGAATTTGTAAGGCCCAGTACACATGAAAATGGTTTGGCTCAGTGGATAGAGCGTCGGCCTGCGGACTCAAAGGTCCCAAGTTCGATTCCGGTCAAGGGCATGTACCTTGGTTGCGGGCATGTACCTTGGTTGCGGGCACGTACCCAATAGTGGGTGTGCAGGGGGCAGCTGATTGAAGTTTCTCTCTCATTGATGTTTCTAACCCTTTATCCCTCTCTCTTTCTCTCTGTAAAAAATTTTTTAAAAATGAAAAATGCAGGGCCTATTGCCACCCCCTGGATGCCAGTCTCGCTGGCCTTTTCACAAACTGTTCCTTCTCCCTAGCCTGCTTGCCCCATGGCCAGTTCCTTCTCATGCTTCAGGTTGCCAAGGTCACCTCCTCAGGGAGGCCTTCCTGGGTTTTTCCAGTTCAGAGAGCATTACTTTTGCTCAGCCTCTCTACTCCGGTCTGCCTATTTTCTTCCATGTCCCCACCAGGTAGAAATGTCTTGCATTTGTGTTCGGGATCTGTCTCCCTCACTAAACTGTGAGCTCCAGGAGGTCAGGAATCGTGTTTGTTTAGTTCCCCCATGGCTTCTCCAGCACCTAGCACGTAGTAGGCACTCAGGAAACATTTTTTTCAGTAAAAGAAGGCTCTTATTATAAACCTTCTGAAACCGATAATATCATTGTGTTGTACAAATATGGAAATCAAGGCTCAGAGAGAGGAAGTGACTTGTCTGAGGTGACACAGCTAGAGAAGGACCAGCTGGCACTGGAAGCCACCCCTGGACCCAATTCTACTGATTCTCGTGTTGACTCATCTGTTCCTTACAACGGTATCTGCCCATCTCTTTTTACAAGAAAACATTTATTAGAAAAGTGCATCAGTGAGTTTTCACAACCCAACACATTCATATGACCAATACCCAGCTCTAGATATAGCCATGTTTGCTGGGCCCACGTGGCTCAGTGTTGTCTTGAGCACTGAAGCACTGCCAGTTCAATTCAGGTCAGGGCACAGGCCAGGGTTGTGGGTTTGATCCCTGGTCAGGGAACATGCGAAAGGGAGCCGACCGATATTTCTCTCTCGCATCGATGTTTTTCTCTCTCTCTCCCTCCCTCCCTCTCTCTTCTTTCCTCTCTCGAAGCATGTCCTCAAATGAGGATTAAAAATAAAAAATAGACTTATAACATTTAGGTTATGTGACTTTCACCTCAATTTTAAAAGCAGACACAAAAACTATATCAGCTCCCATCAGCCTCTCATACCCCCCTTCCCTAGCCCCTCCAAAGGGAACTGATATCCTGACGTGTTGCACATAGTTTTGTCTGCTTTGGAGTTTTATGTAAATGGTACAATACAGGGTCTAGTTTTCTTTTTTTCTATTTATTTATTTATTTGTTTGTTTGTTTGTTTGTTTATTTTTGCCTAGCATTGCTTGTATTCATCCAAGTTCAATCATTCAATAGTTTGTTCATTTTTTTTGTCCATTCTTTTTTTAATCTTATTTTTTTAATATATTTTATTGATTTTTTTACAGAGAGGAAGGGAGAGGGATAGAGGGTTAGAAACATCGATGACAGAGAAACATCAATCAGCTGCCTCTTGCACACCCCCTACTGGGGATATGCCTGTAACCAAGGTACCTACTCCTAACTGGGATTGAACCTGGGACCTTTCAGTCCACAGGTTGACGCTCTATCCACTGAGCCCAGCCGGTTTCGGCAGTTGGTTCATTCTTATTGCTGCATGATATTCCACTGTGGGAACAGACCACAAGTGACTCATGCTAGGGTATATGGGCACTTGGGTTGTTGCCAGTTTGGGGCTATGACAAATAGTGCCCGTGGGTATGTCTATGGGGTGAACTGCGGGGTCAGAGGAGAGCTGTACAGTCAATGTTTGTCGACCAAACAGTTTTCCAACTTGAGTGAATTGGTCTACATTCCAACCAGCGGTGTGTGACAGTTTCAGGGGCTGGATGCTCTCCCCAGCACTTGGACAACCTGTGCCCATCTTGAAAGAAGGCAACTGAGGCCCAGATAGGGGCATGTGCTGCCTCCTCTGGTCAGTGAGAGATTTGGCACCTCCTCTCCTCCCGCATCCTGCCCCCACTGTGCCCTCCCAACCTGGCTGTGGGGTGGGGTGGGACAGGCCGGGTCACGTGGAGTAGCGTTCAGCAGGAGGAAGCCAGGCAGTGTGCAGACGGCTGTTGCGTCTGGGGCTGATCAGGAAATCAAGGTAAGAGGGGGAGTGCGTGTGGCCCCCCCAAGGGGATTTTCTGGGGGCAGAGCTGAGAGTGGGGAGGGTGCCGAGATGAAGACAGCATGTGGGCAGACACGAGACAGAACTGTCACCCTCTTGTTCCCCAGGAGAATCCCCACCATGGACCCGCTGTCAAGAAGCCAGTCCTCCGAAACCCAGCAGGCAGCCCAAACCCCGCTAACCTCCTATCGCTGGCACACAGGAGGTGGGGGAGAGAAGGGATCTGGAGGGTTCCACTGGGGCCGCCTTGCCAGCTGGGGGAGGGCACTGAGCCACCAGGAACCCATGGTCAGCAGCCAACCTGCCCGTCGCTCGCTGTTCCGTCGTGTCGTCTCCGCGCCCCCCAAGGAGTCTCGCAAGAACCACCTCAGGCTGTCCAAGTCCCTCTGGGGGAGGCATAAGAGCCCACCGCTGGAGCCAGAGCCGGAGCCAGAAGCCTCAGGTACGTGGCTCCACCATTCAGAGCCGGGGCTGGGCTGGGAGACCGGATGCTCGGGGTTTGTCTGCCTCCAGAGCATCAGCCATACAGACACAGGAAGTTGTGGGGAGTGCAGAAGCCCAACAGGAAGTGGCTGGGGCCCCGGCAGCTGCCCTCTTCCCTCTTTCCCCCTTACGCAGGGCCTGGGGGTGTGGGGTGTGGCCAAGGAGCTGTGGGCAAAAGGGGGTCCAGCCTGGGCAAGACCCAGGGAATAGACTGATGATAGCACTATCCGGATGCCAAATGACCCCTGATCTCTTGTCATATCCACTAGCCCACTCTCACCTGGATATCCTTCTCAGCCTCCTCCTGTTCTCCTGCCCTCCAGCTTCCATGTTTTAGTTTCTTCACTTCCTTGGGCCTCAGCTTACCCATCAATCAAATGGGAACCATGACCCCTACCTTGAAGGGTATATTATTTCCTTCATTCATGTATCCATCCATTAAAACAGAGGCCCGTTGAGCATTGACTGTGTGCCAGGCCCAGATTTAGGCACTGTGGAAGACAGCGGTGACTAAAAGAGATGTCACTGGCTGTCCCTTGAGACTCACCGCGCAGTGGGCGTGAAAGACAGTAACGAGTATAAACAAGAAAATGACAGAGAGGGCTCAGCGTTGCTCAGAGGGATCCAGAAGGGTGTCGTGAGGTTTGGAGCTGGAGAGCATGGAGCATTAGCCCGGTGTCCAGCATATTTTAAGTGGTCCATTCACAGTGGGACTTATTTCTTCCCCTCGGGGTAAAACGATAGGACAGATGGGTAATCTGGGAGTGTTGGTTCAGCTCTCCTATTCCTGGAAGCTCATTTACTTCTCACCATTCATAGTCTCATTTGGCAAAAGCAGCCCTTCAACCCCTTCCAGGGTATAGGAGAGAGCTCTCTAACAAGCAGACCTGACCTTTGAGCATGCGAGGATGCCCGTGGCTCCCCACTGCCCCCAGGATAAAACCTCTGACTGGCACTCAGGGTCCTGAACCAATCTCTTCCTGGACCTTCCCTTCTAGAGCCTCTGAGCCCTTCAAATTTTTATTTTATTATTATTTGTTTTGCCCTTCCCTTTGTGTCCCTGGGCCCTGCCATCTCTCAGCCTTTGATCAAGCTGTTCCTGCCACCATTCCCTCCATCTCTGTCAAAATCCAACCTGCTGCTGAAATTGGTTTGGCTCAGTGGATAGAGCATCGGCCTGCAGACTGAAAGGTCCCAGGTTCGATTCTGGTCAAGGGCATGTACCTTGGTTTCGGGCACATCCCCAGTAGGGGGTGTGCAAGAGGCAGCTGATCGATGATTCTCTCATCGATGTTTCTGACTCTCTATCCCTCTCTCTTCTTCTCTGTAAAAAATCAATAAAAATATATTTTTAAAAGAATTTAAAAAAAAATCCAACCTGCTGTTCAAGTCCTAGCACAAGCTTCCTCTCTCTGGAGCCCTTCCCTGGCCTGCCGCACTACCTCCGCCCCCTACCGTGGCCCTTTTCTATTCCTTTCTCAAACTTTGAATGTAGTCCACCTTAGACTAGTGATTTATGTGAGGAACCAAGGCTGCTGTCCTGTGGTTTAACTTCTTGGACCTTTATGATTCTTGCTCATATAACCACTGTCTTGGTTAAGAGAAGAGTGCTTTATGTCTGAGGTCCATCTCGATCACGCACAAGCTGCGTGAACCTGGGCAAGTCACCCAATCTCTCTGGGCTTCCGTGTCCTTCCTGGTAAAATGGGGCTTATCACAGCCCTTTTAATGACTTTGGGGGATTAAATTAAGGTGACTAGATGTCACTGGCTGTCCCTTGAGACTCACCGCGCAGTGGGCGTGAAAGACAGTAACGAGTAAATTGATTTTTAACAATTTGTCTTGCGTCCCGCTGCGTTTTTAAAAAGTCCAAAAGATTCTTTCCAAAAATCGGGACTTTTTCAAAACGCCATGGGACGCAGGGCAAATTGTTAAAAATCTGGACTGTCCTGCCAAAAGCGGGACGTATGGTCATCTTAGCATTAAATGAGAGCAGGCAATGTGGAGCAGTAAACACAGTGCAGGTCACATAGTAGGTGAGCTGAGTCCACTACCCAATGCTAGTGAAGACAACATCCAGAGGGTTTTGCTCAACAACTACCCGACATAGCTGCCTTGTGGGAGTGAGGGGAGGAGGCAGCAATTAGGAGGGAGCCCCGCTGAGCTTTGGTGAATGGAAAGGGTGGTCTGAGGTTCAGGGAGAGGCACCACTTCCCCAGCACCTCTTCCTCCACCCAGAGCCGGAGCCAGAGCCGGAGCTCCCAACCCCACAGATCCCTGAGGCCCCCCCACCTGATGTGCCCGTCTGGAACATCGAAGCCTTCACTCTGCTGGACGGGAGGCTGGTGCTGCTCGGGGGTGAGGAAGAGGTGAGACAGGGCCTATGGGTCAGGGGAAGGGAGGAGGGGAAAGGAATGGGACCACGGAAAGTGTCTGCCTTCCCTTTCTGACTACTCACTCCTACGGAGGAGCAGGGGCCTCGCCAGTCCAGGATGGGGAGTGCCAGCTCTGAGAGCAGCATCCAGGTGGCCCTGGGGAACCTCAGGGATGCAGGTACGTAAGTGTGAGAGGTGAGGAGGGCTGGGGCATTATGGGAGCGTGTCAGGGTGGGTCAGAATCCGAGATGATCCCATCTCCCAACCTTCCATCCCCGAACACCACAGACCGAGTGCATGGGAAGACTGAGCCAGAGGCTGCTGGCCCCAACCAGGTCCACAACGTCCGGGTGAGGCATCCGTTGGGGGATGGGGAGGTGGGGAGAGCAAATAGTCCCAGACCCTCAGAGGTGAAAGGGGACTCCTACTGGGTGATTTGGGGCAGATCACTGAACCTCTGTGGGCCTCGGTGTCTCTGTCCAATAGAGCCAATGGGAAAACCTCCCTCCCTGGGCTGTTTGTGAGACATCAACAGAGAATGCAGGAAAGCATACACTTGGGGCTTTAAAAAAATGGGAGTTATTGGTGGCCTTTGCTATTCTTGCTAACACAGCCTGAGTTTGTGGCCCTCCAAGAATAGCAGATCCTCCAGGATACCCGGAGGGAAAAAGGAGCTGCTCAGCTGACACACCTCTCTCTCCTCCATAGGGGCTGCTCAAGCGGCTGAAAGAAAAGAAAAAGGCCAGGTCAGAGTTGGGAGCCAACGCCTCTCGGGATGGGTAAGAGTCCCTGGGATTCAACATTGTCCCCTCCCCGCCCCCCTGCCTTTCATTCTGACTTTCACCCCATACCCCCTGTGTCCCGCCCTATGTTGGGCCATACGGGGGCCACGGAAAGGTCCTAGCATGGAGCCACTCCCCGATGGAAGAGTGGGAGCTGAGTCTGACACAGAAACTCTAAAACAGGAACTAAATCAAAATCCTGGTCCAAGAGTGTCAGGGAAGGAAACGGAGCTGGTATCTGAATAATGGGTGGGAATGAACTAGGCCAAGACGGGCAGGGACAGCATTCCAGACAGAGGGAACAGCACGTGAAAAGGCCAAGAGGTTAGACAAAGACACAAAAACGAAGTCCAGTGTGACCGGACTTCAGACGGTGGGGGATTAAGCGCAGGGGAATGAGGGCTATCCTATATAGTATACAAGGTCATTCAGGCCACCCGGGGAAGTTGGGTTGACCCTAAAAGTGATGGACTTTCAAGTCCAATTTAGATTCAAGTCCATCCTGGCCTCCCTCCACCCTTAAGGCTGTAGAAGGTGATGAGGGGAGAAGACAGAAATGACACTCCTTCCCCTCCTCCCCCCCCCACCACCCTCTCCAGGCCCCCCAGTGCTCTGGGCTCTCGGGAATCGCTAGCCACACTCTCCGAACTGGACCTGGGTGCCCAGCGGAATGTGCGGGTTTGGCCACTGCACCCCAGCCTCCTGGATGAGCCCCACTGCTTCCAGGTACATGCGGGCAGCTCTTCGCGTCCTCCTGATCCTTTGGCTTCAGGCTCGGTCTCCACTGCGACCTGGAATGCCCTTTCCCCACAGGTAACTTGGGCAGGCGGGAGCCGCTGCTTCTCGTGTCGCTCGGCCGCTGAGAGAGACCGCTGGATCGAGGACCTTCATCGCCACTTCCAGCCTAGCCAGGTGGGCACTGGGGGAAGTCAAGGCCCCACCCCTTACACGCTGGTGCCCGCCCACACCTGTGCAACCACTCCCAGACCCTCCTCATCTCGTACCCTTGCACAAGGGCCCCGTCCCTTCTTTCGCAATTTGCACCCAAAGTCCCACCAACGAGGTGGCCGCCCGCCAGATCTTCCCACCGCAGCTGCTCCTCCGTACGCAGCATCCCCGATTTTCCCGGGAGATCTCAGCACAGCTAAAGGGCTTCCGCACGGTCACCCTGGGACCCCTGGCACGCAGTGGAGGCCCTACTCTCTTCCCCAGGGACCCAGGGGTGTTTCCCTGGGGACATGGGCCCCGAGGGACACCTCTGGTACCCACCGTCGAATGCCCACTCCTCCCACCGCTCCGGTCTGCAGGACAACGCGGAACGCGAGGAGACGTGGCTGAGCGTGTGGGTGCACGAAGCCAAGGGGCTGCCCCGGGCGGCGGCGGCGGCGGGGGCGCCAGGAGCGCGCGTGGAGCTGTGGCTGGACGGCGCGCTGCTGGCGCGCACGGCGGAGCGGGCCGGGCCGGGCCCGCTCTTTTGGGCGGAGCGCTTCCACTTCGAGGCCCTGCCGCCGGCGCGCCGCCTGTCGCTGCGGCTGCGGGGAGCGGGCCCCGGGGGCGCCCCGCTGGGCCGCGCATCCCTGGCGCTGGAGGAGCTGGGCGCCCCCCGCGCGCCCGCCGCCGGTCTGGAGCGCTGGTTCCCGCTTCTCGGGGCGCCGGCCGGCGCGGCGCTGCGGGCGCGCATCCGGGCGCGGCGCCTGCGCGTGCTGCCCTCGGAGCGCTACAAGGAGCTGGCGGAGTTCCTCACCTTCCACTACGCGCGCCTGTGCGGGGCCCTGGAGCCGCAGCTGTCGGCGCAGGCCAAGGAGGAGCTGGCGGCTGCCATGGTGCGCGTGCTGCAGGCCACCGGCCGGGCGCAGGTATGTCAAGGCGACAGGGCGAACCTGGGTGGCCGGACCCAGTGGCACCTGCGAGGGGCGGGCACCTGGAGGGAGGGGCGGGGCCTGAGCTTCAGCTACGAAGGGTGGAGCACCTGGAGGGGCGGGGCATAGACGGGTGGGATACCTGGAGGGGAGGGGCATAAAAGGGCGGGGTATCTGGAGGGGCGGGGTATAGAAGGGTGGGGTACTTGGAGGATGTGCATAGAAGGGAGGGGCGCCTGGAGGGACGGGGCATAGAAGGGTGGGGCGCTTGGAGGGGCGGGGCCTAGACTGGAGCTGCGAAGAGGGGGCCTGAGCTGAGCCTGTGTGGAAAGGCTTACATTTCTGCTGAGGGGTGGAGGTTCCCAGCTGTTAGGTGCCCCAGCAGGGGGGGCCAGGCCTGCGCTGTAGCTTTTAGGAGCGCGACCTGTGCCCCGGGGAGAGGGACTCACCAAGAGCAGGGATTCCCCCCTGGCTCAGTCTACACCCAAGCTTCATGACCCCCCGCTGTGACAGGCATTGGTGACAGACCTGGGAACCGCGGAGCTGGCACGCAGTGGAGGCCGCGAGGCGCTGCTGTTCCGGGAAAACACATTGGCCACTAAGGCCATCGATGAGTACATGAAGCTGGTGGCACAGGACTACCTCCAAGAGACGCTGGGTGAGCCCTGTGTGGGGGTGCGGAAGCCTGCTGGGAGGACTAGGAGACCCCAGAGGAAATCTGGGAGACCCTGGGTAACCTGGGTTCTGGAAGTGGGTGATGCCTGGGAGGTACTGGGATCCTGGAGGGAAATGGGGACTCCCCAAGAGGTTAGGTGCCTCCAGGGTAAATGGAGAAGAGTCGGAGGTTGGGTTGGTGGGTCCTGGTGGTTATGGCTCTGGCCCCTGCCTGGCTGTGCTGGGCTGCAGGGCAGGTCCTGCGGCGAATCTGTGCCTCCACTGAGGACTGTGAGGTGGACCCCAGCAAGTGCCCAGCCTCAGAGCTGCCCCAGCACCAAGCCAGACTGCAGAGCAGCTGTGAGGAGGTCTTCGAGGACATCATCCACTCCTATGAGTAAGAGCCAGGGTCCCAGCACCTGAGCCCGCCGCCCCTGCCTCCCAGCCTCTGAGCTGGCTGCCAGATAAAATACAGGATGCCCAGCTAAATGTGATGCAATATTTGGGACCTAGTTATATTTTTAAATTATTTATTATTTGAAATTCAAGTTTAACTGTTATCCTGTAGTTTTATTTGCTAGCTCTGGTGGGAATTCATCCCCAATATTTTGCCACCTTAATGTCACATAAGTGGGACACAATTCCTTGACCCCATACCATAATCCCATGCCACCTGACCCGAGTTAATATAGGATCTCAATCCTATGACCTCTGATTTCAGGTGCTGTCCTGCCCTCAATCCCATGACCCCTGGCCTTAAGTGACACTGTACCTCAAATCCTATGCAAATGATCACAGGAAACCTGGGATTCCAATTTGTTGCTCTCTGACTCTAGGTTAAGCTGTGTGCTTAATCCCATGTCACATGAGACATCAACATCATGATTTCTGAATCTAGGTGACCCCGTGTGCCCCTTCTATTCATATCATGTACCCTGTCTGGCTAGATCTGGCTACAGAATAACAGTTATGTTATAGCTGTCCCCATGTGAACCTGTACCCCCAACTCCAACATTACTGACTCCAGTGCTCACCACAATAACACTACCATAAATCCTGACCCCTCCCTCTCCACACCCCCCACCCCCAGCATCATTATCCCTGATGTCTATAATCTTGGAACTCAGAACATAGATGACTCCTAATCCCTGACCTTAGAAGTTAGGTCATCCGTGAACTTTATGCCCATATACGCCCCCTTTGACCATTGCCTATTCTGTCCCAGCTGGTTTCCAGCAGAGCTGCGCACCGTGTTCTCAGCCTGGCGAGAAGCATGCAAGGCACGAGGCTCTGAGGCACTGGGCCCCCGGCTGGTGTGTGCCTCTCTCTTCCTGCGGCTCCTGTGTCCCGCCATCTTGGCACCCAGCCTCTTCGGCCTGGCACCACAGCACCCAGCACCTACCCCGGCCCGCACCCTCACATTGATTGCCAAGGTCATCCAGAACCTTGCCAACCGAGCCCCGTAGGTGCTGGAAGGCTAGGGAGGGCGGGGAGGGAGTATGGTTTGGCCACGGGGGTGGCAGATGCCTGACCTGACCTACCCAGTTGGACCCCAACCCAGGTTTGGTGAGAAGGAAGCCTACATGGGCTTTATGAATAGCTTCCTGGAGAATCATGGACCTGCCATGCAACACTTCCTGGATCAAGTGGCCATGGTGGATGTGGATGCAGCACCCAGTGGTTACCAGGGCAGCAGTGACCTAGCCCTCCAGCTGGCAGTCCTGCATGCCCAGCTCTGTACCATCTTTGCTGAACTCGACCAGGTGTGTCCTGAGCCTAGAGACCAGAACATGGGGTAGGGAAGCAAGAGGGCCGGGAGCTTCTGGCCCCGAGAGCTTCTCAGCATCCTCCCTACATGCCTCACTAGGCAACCCGCGACAGCCTGGAACCCCTGCCCACCATCCTGCAAGCCATTGAGGAAGGCCGTCCTGTACCTGTGTCTGTGCCAATGCGTCTTCCACCACCACCCCCAGCCCAGGTCTATCCCAGGTAACCTGCCTGCCTGCTCTGTCCAGCTCTTTCCAGCTCTGATGGGGCCAAAGGCACGCACAGGGTCAGATTGGAATCAGCGGTGAAGACAGGATTATGTCAGGAGTCAGAGATGGAGTCGCATTGGGGTCAGTGTCAGAAAGTGTTGGATGGAAGTCAGAGGTTGTAGATGGCTTCATCCAGGAGGTCGGGGAGAGGCTCACAGTGTAAAGTGGGAACTGGTCATTGCAGAGGTCAGGGACAGGTCACATGTGGCATCTGAGAGAGAAAGTGACATCATGTTCAGCGTGTTCACGTTTGGGTGAGAGGCTGGTGATGGGGTTAAATCAGGGGTCAGAATGTGGTCAAATGTTAAGATGTATCCTCAAAGGTAAGGTTCAGGTTCATATTATAAGCAGAGGTCAAGGTCAGATGGGTCAAAGATATGGGCAGAGTCATGTTTGAAGTCAGAGGTCAGGGACCATGGTCTTTCAGGAGGCAGACAGGAACAGTTTAATGTCAGAGGCTGGGGGTCAGAGGGGATCAGCTAGAAAGGAAGAGGATACCCTTGTGAGCGGAGGTTGAGCCCAAGGTCAGATTGGAATTGATGCTACAGAGAAAGATCACACTGTGTCAGGGTCCAGGGCAGAGCCAGAGGTCAAAATGTGACCTCATCAGTGACCGGGTCACATGGAAGTAAAAAGATCCTGGGTCTGGTCATTTGCAGTCAAAACTAGGGATGGATCAGACTGTCAGACCTCAGAGGGAAGGTAGGGGAGGGTGGGGATAAGGGAGAGAGATCCACCAAAGGACTTGTATGCATGTATATGAGCCTAACAGTGGTCACGAACAACAGGGGGGTGGAGACATGCGTGGGGAGGGGTTTGGGATGGGAATGAGGGGATGAGGACAAATATGTGATACCTTAATCAATAAAGAAATAAAAAAATAAAAATAAAAAACTAGGAGTGGGATCAGCTCAGGAGCCAGTCAAGGGTCTGAGCTCCTGCATTCCACCCCCAGTTTTTCCACAGGGGAGAAGCCCGGCTTCCTGCCCCCTCGGGACCTCCCCAAGCACACCCCTCTCATATCCAAGAGCCAGTCTCTGCGCAGCGTCCACGGCTCGGGAAGTTGGGCCCGGCAGCGGCCGGAGGAGGAGCGGCCCCCACGGCTGCCCCGGCCGGTGAAGCGCACGCAGAGCGTCCCGGCCGGCCGCCCGGCTCGCCGCTGCCCTTCCGCAGCGGGACCTCGGCCTCGACCCAAGGGCTCCCTGCGCTCCGGCCCCCATCCCCGCGGCCGGCCCTGGACCGGGGCCTCGGCCTCGCTGCCTCGGAAGCCGTCCGTGCCCTGGCAGCGCCAGCTGGATCAGCCTCGAGGCACAGACCAGGCGCTAAGCCCGCACCGACCCATGGGCAAGGTGAGTGAGGCCGGCCTCGGGGCATGCCCGGAGGGGAGAGGCGAGACTGGAGGCCGGGCAGGTCTGGGTTCAAATAGGAGCGCCCTATGCTGGGTTACTCCAGGCCTAGCCCAGCCCTCTCTGAGCCTCAATTTCCTCCTCTTCAAGCCGGTGATGTTCCCCAAGTGAGGTGACCAGACGTCCCACTTTTGGCGGGACAGTCCCGATTTTTTAAACAGTTTTTCTTTTTATTTCTTTTTATTTTTATATTTTATTGCTTTTTTACAGAGGAAGGGAGAGGGATAGAAAGCTAGAAACATCCACCAGTTGCCTCCTACACATCCCCCACCGGGGATGTGCCCACAACCAATGCACGTGCCCTTGACCAGAATCGAACCTGGGACCCCTCAGTCCACAGACCAACTCTCTATCCACTGAGCCAAACCGGTTTTGGCGACAGTCCCTATTTTTAACAATCTGTCCCGCATCCCGCCGTGGGACATATTGTTAAAAATCGGGACTCTCCCGCCAAAAGCAGGACGTCTGGTCACCTTCCCAAGAGGCTGGGCCTTGAGGAGGAAGAGCACAAGGGACAGGAAAGTCAGGTCTTCCGGGAGAAGAAGGGGTGAGACGGCGGGTCAGGTGACAGAGGCTCCCCTCCCCCCTGCAGCTGACGGAGCTGCAGGGCGAGGTGGCCACCCTGCGCGAGGAGCAGAAGGTGCTGTCGGGCCTCGTGGAGTCCCTGCGCACCCACCTCCGGACCTTGACGGAGCAGCAGCAGCAGCTTCGCAGCCAGCTGGAAGGCCTGGCCTCCAGGCTTCAGGGAAGGTGAGCCCTGCCTTCCCACCAGCTCCGTCCTCCACGGGACCCGTTAGACTTAATCAGATCGCCCAGAACCCACTGACTGTCATTCAGGTCCTGCCCTTCATTCAGTCCCAAATTCGCCAGGCACGGTCACGCCCCTCCCTAGGTCAGCTCTGCCCGCCCCAACACACCCAAGACCCACCTCTTGATCAGCTCTGCCCTAGGGGAGCCCGCCCCCTCTCCCCCCAAGTCGCTGGCTGATCATCTCATCCATCATTGAAGCCCCATCCCTCAATCAGGCCCTCTCAAACTGGTTGGGCCAGGCTCTCTCAGTCTGGGCACGCCCCTATCCCGGTCACCATCCGACCCAGGAAGGACCAAGTCCCGCCTCCAAAGGTTTCGTGGGTCCTTCCATCCTAGGCGTTCCAGGTTGGCCTCTTCAAGTTACCTAGGCCCCGCCCTCTGGCTGGGAAGGCCCCGCCTCCAACTCTAAGCCCCGCCCCGAATCCCTAGCTCTCCAATCAGGGGCTGGAGGGGAGTTCCCCAACCTCTGAGCTTCCCTGCTCCCTGGCCCCTGATTTCCACAGGACCCCTCATTTGGCTCCAGAGTGCAACCCACCAAGCAATGAGGCCAACAAGCTGGAAAATCTGGTGAGAGCCACTGTGTGCACCCTGGGGCAGGTCTGGCGGTGAGAAAGCAAGGGCTGGGGTGAAACTTTCCCCTGGCTCTGAGCCTCACTGCCGTGGCCCTCTAGGAGCGCCGCCTGTCTGAAATGGAGAGTTCTCTAGCCCCACTGAGGGATGCCGTCCAGAGCCTGCAGCATCTTCATACGATGACGCCAGGGTCCAGGAGCCAGCCCCTGCCTCTCAAAGCACGCTGCGTGAACGGAGACACCACCTGAGCTGCCCACTCCACCACCCCACGTGGTCTGGGAGCAAAAAGATACCTGTTGTAGGGGCCCTGCCTCGGCCCTACATGGCCTACAGTGTGGAGTGGAGCTGTTGATGGCAACTAGCCTGGCGCTGTGAAGTTGCCCAGTAAAATCTTGATTTCAGTAAAATTGATGGTTTCTTTGTCCCGAAGTGTTGCCACTCAGGAAGCACCCTCCCCAATTCTCCCCTAATTGGAGGGCTCACCAAGGGGGAGATGTAAAGAGTTTCTCACCAGTTGTGTGACTTTAGGCCTGCACTCTCTCACAGCCTCATTGTCCTCATCTGTAAATCGGATTTAAAGGTCCTTACACAGTAAAAAAAAAAAAAGAAAGAAAGAAAGAAAAAGACCTGTAATGTTTTTAAATATATATATTTTATTGATTTTGTTTTGTTTTTTTAGAGAGGAAGTAAGAGGGATAAAGAGTTAGAAACATCGATGAGAGAGAAACATCAATCAGTTGCCTCCTGCACACCCCCCATTGGGGATGTGCCTACGACCAAGGCACATGCCCTTGCCTGGAATCAAACGTGGGACCTTTCAGTCTGCAGGCCGATGCTCTATCCACTGAGCCAAACCAGTCAGGGCAAGATCTGTAGCTTAAAGCATTCAAAAAAAGGTATTCATCGTTTGGTAGGCCCAAAACACCTACTTCTCAATGAAGCCCAGATCCCACCTCCACCAACCCCCAAATCCTGGATGAGAGCATCTTCTAGGGCCCCTAATCCCATACTAGCTCCCTCATGGCAGGGAGAGCATGGGTCTAGGAAGCAGATGAAGGAAGGGGCGGGTAGATGTGAAGAGAGTTGAGGTCTGTGAGTATTGGTTGGATAACTGAGTGAACATTTGAATTATGGGTGAGGGGTGGCATGGGTGAGAGGCAAATGAATAGGTTAGCATTTGCTAGATGTCTGTGCACTAGTAGGTGAGTAGTTAAGTAGTTGGTTGGCTGGGATGGGTATGTCTGCCTAGAAAAGGCCCATATTGTACTAGGAAATAAATATTTGGATTTTGAGTATGTACCACATTGTATGAGCATTTGTTCAAGTGTCCTGAGACTCTTGAGCTGGGCAGTGAGGAAATAGTAATGAATTAGACAGATAGGACTCCTGTCCTCAGGGAACTCACACTCTAGTGGAGGAAACAGACAGTAAATATGCAATTGATGGATGGATGGGTAATTGGGTAGTTGGGTAAAAGGTTCTGTGTAAGGAAGAGTGGAGTTGTATGGATGAATAGGTATTTACTTGGGTGGTAGATGAGACATGGATGGGTGAGTTGAGTGGATGTTCGGATGGGGGCGGTTTGGGAGGGTGGCTAGCTGGCTAATGGGATCACGTTAGTTATATGATAGGTGGATGAGTAAGTAGATGGGAGGTGGATGGGTGGTTTGGTTTGAGTGGGTATTTGGGTGGATGGGTGGGTAGATGTTGGAGAGGTGGATGGAGAGGTGGTTCGTTGACTGGGTGGGTAAATGATGTGTTTGGTCAATTGGGTGTGTGGATGAATGGGTGAGGAAATGAATGGGTTGTCAAACACGTGGATGGGTGGCTGGGGGAAGGCAACAGGCCTATTTTTGCGTGTATGACAGGGTGGACCTGGAGGCTGCCATCCTGGAGGTGGAGTGGAGAAGGGGGGTCTTAGCAGTGGGAACCTAGAGCAGGCTCTGGGGGCATGGAGGCTTGGAAGTCCAGCGGATAATGAATGAGGAAGGAGGGAGTGAGCTTGTGGAAGCCTAAGGATTGGCTGGGTGGAATCCTCGAAGATCCACCGTAGGAGTGACCCGGAGGGGAACTTCTCTGCCCCCTCCCCACTTCCCTGGTGCTATTGGCGAGCAGAGCGTTGGAAGAGCCAGTGGGGTGATGAAGAGCCGCTGAGGGCAGGGGACAGCGTTGTCATGGTAATGAGCCTCGCCCAGGACTCCTGGCCCCGGGACCTGCGTGGCCACTCCCAACATGGCGCGCGCGCTGACCGCTCCCCTTCCCGGGGGCACTGGAGGGGGGGCCACCAGGGGGAGGGGGCGCCCCGGACCTCCCCATCATGGCGGCGCGGCGGGGCTGTCGCGCTGAGGTCACGGCGGCGCGCCGGGGGGGCGGGGCGGCGGGGGGGAGCGATTTAAAGGGACAATGTCCCCCGAGCGGTGGAGGCAGCGGTGGCTGCGGAGGCCGCGGCACCGGCGCCGGTAGCGGCAGCGACGGCCGCGCCAAAGAGGGGAGCTCCGAGCCCGGCACCCGGCCGGCAGCGCCGCCTCCCCGGTGAGGCCCGGTCCGGCCCGGGGAGCCCGCGGGCGGGGCGGAGCCGGCGCGGGGAGTGGGAGGCCCGGCCCGGCCTGGCCGGGCGGGACCCCCTGAGGCGGGGGGCGGGGCGGGGCCTTCAGGGGCGGGGCCTGGACGGGGGCGGGGCCACGCAGGTGGGGGGAGGAGTGGGGGTCTCGGGGCAGGTGTCCCCCCCCACCTCTGCGCGTCCCGCGGGGTCTCCTGCCCCGAGATGCACGGGCGGAGGGCGCAGCTCCCGGACCTCGGTCCCCCGGGGGGTGCGCTGGCGCGGCGCCACTCCCACCCCTGCCACTCCCGGAGGGGCGTCCAGGCTGGAGCCCCCTTCTCCGCGCCGCCAAAGTGCTCGGAAGTTGCGGTGCTGCCGGGTCCCCGCTGGCATCACCCACCCGGTGGGCACCTGCAGGTGCTTCCTCCAGGCCTGGGCAGAGACCCTCGCCACGACTGCCAGTCCACGGGCGGGCCCCTGGGGAGCCCCTAGGCCCCCCGGGCAGCGCCTGCAGCCAGGCCGGGAGTCCCGGCCCCGCCCCGGTTGCCTCGACCGGCCTCCCCAACCTCTCCCCAGGGAGGGCGCCTCATTCCTGCCCTTCACTTTCCGACGTTACCTTGAAGGTATTTATAGGTGGAGAGAACAGCCCCCACCCCCACGGCTTCCCTAGGGTCCTCGTTTCTGGACCAGGAGCCCCATCCATCCCTGTTGCCTGCAAACTAGAGAGATCTTGGGAGGGTAGGAGGGAGGAACCCAGGATGGGGTGTGCATGAAGGGTAATGTTGGGGGAAAGCGAAGGGGGTTGATCTGGGGTCACTTGAGGCTGTTGTGAGGGTGAAGGTATTGATGCTGGAGAGCCCTGAGGTCGGAGGAGGGAGGACTGGGCTGTGGGAAAAGTGCAGGGGTAACGATCTTCCTCGGTATAAGATCAGAGTGGAGAGATGACCTGCATGCATGCCAAGGCACGGGCATAGGGTATGTGTGTGCATGGAAGTGAGGGCACAACTGGGCAAAGTGCAAAAGGGAGGCCTCTGTGAGAAGTGACAGGGTTTAATGCTGGAATGAAACAAGGTGGCTGGGTGTGCATGTGTAAGGGCGGGTAAACTGAGGCAGCACCGGATCTGTGTTGAGAGAGGTGTTCTCTGTACGCTGTCAGTGGGTAGGGACTCCGCACAATTTATTACACTTGATCTTAGCCAAAAGGCCGAGAAGCGACCATTTATTTAGTTCCCCTGGGCTGGGAGGTAAGCTGAAGCGCTAGGCTTCACGAGTGAGGATTGGGGCTTCAAGGAAGGCAGAGTCCCTCTCCTACCTCCCCTAAGCATCGTCTCTCTGCCCCCCAGATCGACAATGCCTTGCTGAGCCAGCCCAGCAACCGAGTGGAGCCACGCAGAGAACATCCATGGATGGACCCTTGGTGGGCGGCCTGGCTGCCCCAGACCGTCCTCGAGGCCCCGAGAGACTGCCTGGCCCAGCACCGAGAGAGGACATTGAGGGTGGGGTCGAGGCAGCGGAAGGGGACGGTGGCATCTTCCGGTCCACCCATTACCTGCCCATCACCAAGGAGGGCCCCCGAGACGTTCTGGATGGCAGAGGTGGCATCTCTGGTAAGAGAGTGGGCCCTGTGTTTGATGATGGAGCGTCCAGCTCGGTTCCCAAGGCTCAGAGAGGGCCTGGTCACCCCGCCAAGCTGGGGCTGAATTGGGATTCAGATTCTTTTGGGTCCAGAGCCTTCTCTGGCACTCTGCTTAGTTTCGCATTTTATAGTTATTAAAACAGATGTTCTGTGGGCCAGTTGCCTGACCAAGGAGCTGGGACTTGAACTCAGATCTGTCTGGCTTCCTCCTCTGAGCACACTGGCTGGGTCCAGGTGCCCAGCTTAGAATCCTAAGCGCCCTTCCTGAGCCCACTGGTTCCCCAGGGTTACCCTGCCTCAGTTGTCGATCCTGGCTCTCTCCTCCTGCGCTGTCTTGGTGAGTCCTGCCCCTGAGCCATGAGCCAAAACAGCTTGTGCCCTCTACTGGCTGGGGAGAGATTGCATAGTCAGGGATGCCATCCACCACATTGTGTTTAGGTTTACCCAGCAAAAAGGGGACCTCATACTGTTCCCGCCTCATCAGTGATTCATTATACTCAGCACCTACCATGTGCCAGTCTCTGTGCTAGGCTAGGGATACAGCCATAAACCAAGAGGCACAAGTCTCTGCCCTCAGGGGCCTGATAATCTAATAGGGGAGATAGGCAACAAGCAACTAAATACACACAGGCAGGTAGTGACAGATGCTGGGAAGGCATTCAATGAGTGCCAGGCCTGTACCGGGGCGCCTGGGAAAGCCTTTCCGAGGGGGTGGGATTTGAGTGGAGCCAGGTGAAGCCAGGTAGAGGGGGTGGCTGATGCAAAGGCCCTGTGGGAAGGATGAGCCCAGCCTATGGCTGGAGAGTGGTGGGGCAGCACAGGCTAAGGCACCAGACACATCTCCATTTCCTTGGCCTGCCCTGAAGATTCCCGAAGGCCTTGGTTTCCAGGAATCTGCAAGCACTCAGCTGGGGCTTTCCTACTTGCTAACCCCTTTAAGTGATCATCTTGTGTCATTCTAAAAAGATCTCTGTAGGGTAGTCTTTGTTATTACTATCCCAAGTTAGAGATGTGAAAAAACAGACTCTGACGGTTGAGGTTGCCCAAGGTCATAAAGCTAGTAACCTGGCTTGACACCTCTCATCCTTAAGACGATGCTCTATCAAGCCATCCTTGACTGCCCCCACGGATCCTTAGCAACACTCACGATGCTTAGATATTTCCAGAGCACCTTCTCAGGCTGGGCACTGGGACATGGCCAGTGACCAAGTACACACAGCATCCCCACTCTC